GCCGGTCCAAAGACCGGCGCTCCCTGCCTAAGGCTCCCCACACTGCTCTTTAAACTCTCCCATAATTGCCAACTATGAAGTCCAGGCTGACCTTGAACTCACATGCAGCCCAGCAGGGTCTCTGCAGCATACGGTATCTGAGAGGCAGGGCAGCCGTGAGGCTCACAGGTCTCTGCTTCCAGGAGCGAAGACCTTGGCCTCTGTCCCTGACCCCTATGGCTGTGCTGTCAACTGACCCTTCGACCTCGGCGCCTTCAACCTGCTGCCCAGAATCTCCCTGTGGCTTTAGCTGTTTAAGTTGTGTTTCTACCAGTTCCTATCCAGAGACCCAGCACACACGCCCGCTAGGATCACTCTGTAGAACTCACTGGATGTGAACAGCACTCTGGAACCAGCCTTGCAAACTCTGGGGCATCGAGGCCAGCCACCCTGCACCAAGTGACATAGCATGGGGCTGAAGGACATCACCACCAGCTAAGTGCCCGCGGGGACGACATTTCCATGGCTGCAGACCTGGCTCCTCCCCTGCCCAGCGTGTGAAGTGCTAAGAAGACCGTGCACTCGAGTGGGACTACACTCTTCCTCAGCAAGCCGGCTCCGACGGTCTCTTCCGTCCCTCAGCGTCGGCGTCGCCATGGCCGCGTCTGGGGTGAGATACACATTCGTTCACCCACAGCCTCAGCTTTCTTGACCCTTCCTCTGCTTTGCCAAACGCTCCGTGCTTTTGGCCTTGCCCGGCCTTTCTCTTCACCGTGCTCTGCCTCTCTCCCTCTTGCTCGTGGCTCCATCCTGACTGCTGTGCTTTCCGTGTTTCCAGTCCTTTCCCCGCAGTGTCTGTCTCTATCCCCAGCCCACCTTGAACCGTCCTGCAGTGCCCCTGACTGTGCCCACGCTGGAACTGACCTGGCACAAGGCGCTCTTTGCTGGTGTTGGTTTCTCGGAGTCGGCTTCTCCTATCGCACTGAGTTATTCATCAGCCCGGGGGGGCACTCCTCCTGGGGTGGGGGCTGGGAACACCAGCTCTGGAACCGCGGCCCCAGAAATAAGGCTGGTTTGGGCCAGGACATAAGCCACAGGCAGAAAGGTTGCCCGAGTGCAGAAGGTCAGGCCGCTAGCATTTTCTCAGGCTTTTGGAAGAGCGGAGCTCTGGAAAGCTGCTGGTCCTTTGGGAGCTTTGGATGTAGCTGTGGTGGCGCCTGAGTGTTAGTCCTGGCTTTGCCACTTCCTGCCAGGGACCTAACAGTCGTCTCACTGCTCTGTGCCTCGGCTTCTACCTCTGAAACGCAGGTCCCCAGCTTATGACCTTGGTGTTCTCTGAAAATTAAAATAAAAGGGTCTGACAGCTTGTAACTTGTGTTGTGTGTATAAATGGGAGATGCTATTAATGCCAGCTTTCCTAGGAGCTAAGTGACAGATATAAAACAGGGCAGCTGAGCGTGGGGGCACACGCTGCCATCCCAGCACTCATCCCGAGAGGCTGAAGCAGGAGTGTCACTCTGAGCTTGAGGCCAGCCTGGGTTACACATAGTGAGACCCTGTCTCTAAAAGCAAAAAACAGACAATAGCCCCCCAAATAGACCCAGAAGATGGGCCAGCTCTCTTCTGTTCGCCTCACGCCCCTCACTGGGGTGCCCACAGCCCCCCTCGGGTTCTGGGCACCAGGGACAGAGATCACATGTAATTTTTATTCAGCCACAGGCGTCTCGGAGGACAGAAACAGAGGCGCGTCTGGTCACCCACGCTCCTGAGAGCTTCGCCGCTCAGACGCTTGGTGGCAGGGAGAGAGGGCCGCGCTCGTCGCAGGCGCCGGCCCACGCAGACAGGGTGCCGGCCACCGTCACACAGGGCACGGAGCCATCCCACGGGCCGCACAGGCACGGCTGAGACGGGAGGCTCGCAGCGGGTGCTGCCTTGAGGAGGGGCGCAGGGGCGAGGGCAGGCACGGGCGCGGCGCGGCTGTCCGCTGTGCCCACGTGAGGACAAGGCCAGCCAGGCACCACGGCCGGAGGTTAGTGTGCTGGAGTTAGCAAATAAAAATATAGACTAAATATAAAAATATCGACTATCGACTTTCATTTGAATTTGAGATAAACAACGAACAATGCTTTTGCTTTGTTTTTACGGTACTGGGAACTGGACCCAGCGACTTAGGGTTGAGCTACGACTCCAATCCTTTGCACTTATTTGTTTGCTTTTTGAGACAGAGCCTCACAGTGTAGCCCATCCTGGCCTCAAACTCAGGATGAGCCTTCTGCCTCATCCTCCTGAGTGCTGGGATTGGAGGTGTGTACCAGGACACTGAGCTCTCTTATTTTTTATTTTGTCTTTTTCTTTTTTTTTTTGTACTGGGACTCGAACCCATGACCTCATGCTTGCCAGGCAGGCACTGTGCTGCTGAGCTATATCCCTGGTTTATTTTCTAGTTTAATGTAGGGTCTAACTAAATTGCTAAATTTCCCAGGCTGAGCTCAAATTTTTGATCCTCCTGCCTCAGCCTCCCAGAGTGCTAGGATTACAGGTATATTCTACCACACTTGGCAACAATGAATAATTTTTTAACACAAATACGTTGTCTCAGTCACATTTCTTGTCACTGGGACCCAGTACTCAACACCAACAAATTAAAAGTGAGGTTTATTTTGGCTCACCTTTTTAGTTCATGGTCCACTGCTCCAAGTCCAGACGGCACTGCGGAAAAGAACTGCTCACAACATGGTGCACAGGAAGCAAAAGGAGAGGGGAGGGTTGGGGAAGGAGGAAAACCCTCCGGTCATACCCCGAGCCCTGCCTCCTAACAAGGCAGCTACAGCCCGTCACCCAATCCCCTTCCAAAAGCCCCGCCCACGAGCACAGGTGCCTTTGGGGACATCTAGATATAACCATAACGCATGTTCTGTACAATACCTGCAATATACCTGTATCGTTTTCACTGTTTACCTGAAATGCAAACTAACAGCGTCCTGTGTGTTGCCTGGCAACGGGATGAGGGAGCTGGGCCTCAGGTTGCCCAGACTCTGAGCTCCCGCTGCTCCCTGGCTGAGGCTGGGCCCTGGGCCCTCGGCTCTGCATGGCCCAGGGCACTGTCAGGTTGCTGACAGCCCATTTGGTGACCGAGGGGGTAAGTCCTGTCCTTCAGGCTTGGAGGACATGTGGGGGTGGGTGCCTGCCCCAGTGTCCATGACAGAAGCGGACTCTGGAATGTTCTGGAAGGATGGTGACATCACAGAGTCGAGGGAAGGGCTGGAGAATCAGCATCAGAAGACAGACCGCAGCCCGGTGACAGGAAAGACTTGCCAACCCCACGCCACTCACAGCGCCGTCCGGCTGATCACTGCTGAGGGCTCCACAGCCTACTTCCCCATGCGGGAGACCTGCAGCCTGTGGCCGCAAGTGAGTGGCGCCCTGCCTCCATAGCTGCGCCAGGTCTCCAGACAAGTCTGGCCGGTGCCTCTGAGCGACTGACTCGGCTCTGTGGTGCAGGTGACATCCACCCTTCATCTGGGGCCTCACGGAAGGGATCTCATTGAAGATGGCTACATTAGCTTGGGGCCGGGACCAGCACCTCCAGGAGTCCTGAATCATGCCCTGGCCTGGAGGGATGGTGTCCAGAGACTAGAGAAAGACTCAGGTGTGATTGCAGATTTTATTTTCTTTCTTTGGTTTTTATGAGACAGGGTCCATGCTGGCCTTGAGCTTACTACTACATAGTCCAGGCTGGCCTTAAACTTGTGGCAATGCTCCTGCCTCAGCCTCCTGAGTGCTGGCATGACAAGTGTGTGCCACCATGCCTGGCTAGATCTGATTTTTTTTTTAGACAGAGTCTCACTATGTAGTTCATGCTGGCCTAGAATTTACTATGTAGACTAGGCTGGCCTCCTCTTGCAGCAATCCTCCTGTCTCAGCCTCCCAAGTGCTGGGATTACAGGCATGCACCACCATGTCCAGCCCTGATTTTCTTAAATGTAGGCAAATAGCAGCAGGCACCCTACAAACTCCAGGAGTGGGAATGAGCCTAATTATGTAGCCATTTTACCCAAATACAGAGGTGACTTGTCACTGTGGAGAAAGTGCTTTCCTGTGGGCCAGGGACTTTCACCTGAGTCCCGCAGAGTGGGAGGAGGCCTGGCCCCTGGGCAGGAAGCTCTCGGGCCAGTCGCCGGTGGGTGCGGCAGTGAGGGGTTCCAGTTGTAACGCACAGGCTGTGTTTCTACACAAGTGGATGGGGAGCCGACCACAGCAGCGGCCAAGAGAACTGGAGGGTGCGGCACCAGCGTTCACGGCCCCAGGTCTACAGATTCCGGAGTTTCACTCTCTCCTCGTCCCTCAGGTCTGCGTCCATGCAGCAAGCGGTGTGGGGTGGGACTCGGGGCGTCTGCCACGCACGCTGTCAGGCAGCCCTTCCTCCCTACCGTGTCCTCGTGTCGCCCCTTTGCCACCTGCTGGTCGCCCCCAGAAAGATGTGGTGCGCTTGTGACCCCTGAGGACCACGGCACCCTGTCCCCAACCCCGCCTCCTGCCCCTCCACCCAAGGGCCTGCCCCTCGCAGCAGCCGCTGCCTCCGTCTGCCCTTCCCAGCTCTCGAGACCCCGGGGAGGGCCGGCGTCCCTGTGTCCACAGCCTGAGATGCGCAGGGACCCAGGAGGGAGCGGCAGGTGGGTGCAGCGAGTCACCGTCCCTCCCTCTCGTGTCACCGGGACACCTGAAGGTTCCCCGAGAAGGTGGCGTCTCTGTAGAAAGCCGCGAGTGCACGGCCCTCGTTCGCTGGCCACCCCGGCTCACAGGCCACCCTCCTCCTGGGGACGCTGGTGTCGCCACCGCCACCGAGAGGAGCAAACAGAAACGCAAAACAGCGCGAGGTGGCGTCCTGCAGGAACCGAGCCTGCAGTGCGAGGGAGGCGACCTCCAACAGTAAACAGGCGACCCGCCCGCATGGGGTCGATGAGATGAGAGACGCAGAGAAAAGGAACCGGACGGGGAGGGAGGCCCACGTAGAGGCTGCCATGGAAACCACGTCACAGGCCGCCTTCTGGACAAGATGCTGAGCAAGCAGCTGCTCCGGAAGCCGTGAGGAGGAGCAAGGGCCGTGGTGGCACATGGGGAGGCTCCCTGTGCCCTGTCACCAGGGCCCCTCACAGCCCTCGGGCCCAATGGGTCGCTCCCAAGTTCTGCAGCCAGGAGCGCTAGGCTGCTTCCCGGTTGTGCTGACCAGTCCATTAGGTTAAGTGAGAAGCAGTGCCAAGGGGAGGATTGCTCGACTCGGTCCTCTGCTTCTGTTTTGTGTCAGTGTTTCACTCTTTGTTTTTGTTTTTTGAGGCAGGCTCTTGCTGTGTAGCCCAGGCTGGCCTTGAACTCACAGCAATTCTCCTGCCTCAGCCTTCTGAGTGCTGGAATTACAGGTATGTGCCACCAAGCTAGGCTAAAAGCAGTATTTCTTGGCCTGGCGTGGTGGCGCATGCCTGCAATCCCAGCACTCTGGAGGCTGAGGCAGGAGGATCGTTTCAAGTTTGAGGTCTGCCTGGGCTACAAAGTGAGCGCAAGGCCAGCCTGAACTGCATAGCAAGACCTTGTCTCAAAAAGACAAAAAACAGAAACAAAACAATATTTCTTGACACATGAAATTATGCGACATGCAAATTTCAGTGTTGGTTTTGCTGACATATAGTCACGCCCACTGGCTCACAGGTTGGTTTGGCGGGGTTGAGCAGCTGTGATAGAGACGGGGCGATCTGTGACACCTAAAATATTCACTGTCAAAACTGCTGGAGCCAGGCATGGCGGCGTACACCGGTCATCCCAGCACTCAGGAGGCTGAGGCAGGAGGCTTGCCACAAGTTTGAGGCCATTTCAGGGTACACAGTGAGCTCGAGGCCAGCCTGGACTACACAGCAAGACCCTGTCTCAAAAGGCTAAGGACAACAAACTGCTTGGGCTGGAGTGGGGATCAGTGCAGGGCGCCCCCTAGCCGTGCAGGCCCTGACTCTGTCCTGCTGGTGCCAGGCCTTAGGCCTTGGTCTCAGACCCGGCTGCACACTGGGGTCATCTGGGGAGCTTCAGAAAAGACCACTGTGCCCCATGCTGACCTGGCTGCTGATTAACTGGCCGGAACACTGGGCTTTTGAAAGTGCTCCAAGCACTCAGCCTGAGAGCCAACTTAGCAGTGCTGACCCACGACCCACGACCCATGACCCACGACCCACACTGCCACTCCCCGACCCTGGGAGGGCCTGCGGCCTGCTGCTTTCTGGGAGGAGGTCCTGGGTGGAAGTCCGGCCTCTGCACTGAGCTACACCCTCAGCCCTCTTTTATTATTCTGAGACAGGGTCTCTCTGAGTCACTGAGTTGTCCAGGCTGGGTTTGAATTTGGGATCCTCCTGCCTCAGCCTCCTAGAGTTCTGGGATTACAGGTCTGTAGGCCACCACAACTGGGTAAATTCTGCATTTTAAATAAACTTCTGGCCAGTGCCACCGCTGCTGGCCCGTGGACTGCACTTTGAGAAGCCGGGTCTGTCCTAGCCCACTCCTTCCCACGAGTCTTCTATCTTCACTTAGCGGGAGGGTAAAAGATGCCACGGAACAAACATGGCTCTCCGCACGGGCACGAGGCTCCCTCCGTGGACCGAATCCCCTGGGTCTGTTCCCAGAGCACAGCCCTGGTCAGCTGGGCCCCTGCCGCAGGCATGGGCAGCTCCACGCTCTCCTCTCACCCATCCTCAGGGTCCCTGAGGCACCTCGGAGACACTGCCGGTCAGGCCTGGGCTCCGCTCTGCTTTCTGTGGGAGTTCACGAGGAGGAAGAGGGCGTCCCCCGGCACTGGAGCCAGCATTAGCTGGGTCATTTGCAACCCCTTCCCAGGAAGACCGAACAGGGAGACCCTCAGGTCACCCCAGCTTCTCCTCCTCTGCTGCGAAGAGGATCAGGGAGCTGTAGCTTCCCATCCCTTACCTCATCGTTCTGTTTGGCGGATGAGAAGTACTCGATCCTCTGAAGGGCTTTTACCTCCCAGCCGCTGCGGAACGCTGCGCCTCTGTCAGCCTAGACCTATTTATTACCGAGGTTGGCTTCATCGTTTGAAATAGAAGTGTTCATGAAACTTAAACCATTAAAGTGGTGTTAACGGGCTCTGTGGAAAGAGGGCTCACCTCCTACTTCCTTTTGCTGGAGGCGGAAAGCCGCCTCAAGGAGATTACCTTCCCAGAGAAGGAAAGCCTCCCCTGGACGGAGCCCGCGTCAAGCCAACTGTGTGGTGCCCGCCTGCAACCTCTGCACTGAGGAGGCTGAGCAGGAGGATCGTGGGGAGTTCAAGGCCAGCCTGGGCTAAGCGAGACTGTCTCAAAAGAACCAAAGGAAAAAAAGTAGTCAGTTTGCCTGTGAAACTCAATTCAAATAAGCTGACAGAGACTGAAACGCTGATGACAGTTTCGCAGGCAGCTGAAGACCCACAGAACTGCGGAGTTCAGAGTGTGGGGGACACGGAGGCTCCGCTGGGAACGCCTGCGCTCCCCATGTCCGGCCAGGTGTCCGCCTCCGGCCGGGCGCCACACCTGCCACCTGCTCCGCTGCTCCCCTGGGCCTCCCGCCAGATGCAGTCAGAGGGAGTGACGGCGGGAGAAGCAGAGGGCTGCTTTCGGCGCGGGCCCTGGCTGCACCTCGAGTGCGAGGAAAGGCAGAATTTGCACACCACACGTGTCACTCAGGCGGCACGGACAGTGCGGTGTTGCCGAGTACATTTGCATCACTGCTCATCTGCTTGGGGGATTTTAGAGCCCTGCCGTTGCCCAGAATGAAACCCCAAGTTGGTCATGGCTGCCCCAGCCCTGTCCCCAGCCCGTGGTGATCGCTCACCTCCTTCCTGTCTCTGTGGAGCTGAGAAAGGGGTTTTGTAGCCAGATGCCTGCATGCTGGTTTTAAAATATGGGTTTTTCTGCTGGGTGTAGTGGTGCACGCCTGTAATCCAGCGCTCAGAAGGCTGAGGCAGGAGGATCACTACGAGTTCAAGGCCAGTTTGTGCTACATAGTAAGACACTGTCTCAAAAAAAATTTTTTTAAGAACCATCCCAGTAAGCCAGATGTTTTTGGAGGCCTTGTTGCCCACACAGGAGTCCCAGGCCAGCAGAGCGGCCACTCACACCCCTCCCGAGGAGGTCTTCCAAGTGCAAGGCTCCACCTGGAACTTGTGCGCCTGCTGCGCTGGCTCTCTGCCTCTCTCCTGCCCTGGCAGGCTGGGCTTGTGATTTCTGCTTTTCTTCCCGAGCTGCCAGGTGAGTCCAGGAATCTGTTCCCACGTACCCGAGGGTGCCCCACACTGGGAAACTGGCTCCCCGTCCGCTCCCTGAACAGGTACGGGACCGTGCGCTGGCAGTGCCTTCCGAGAAGTTTGCTCAGCGATAGTTAATTACACAGGCACTTGGAAGAACATCAAGTCATTTTGGAGTGCTTTTATCTACTGTCCAGAAGTAAAAGACAATTAAAACGGTATTTAGGTCTCAACCTGGAGGCAGTTTTGAAGCATTCTGTACTCTGCACAAATCCTCCTCCTCCCTGTCCTCCTCCCTTCCTTTTCTTTGCCGTGCTGGGCTTGGAACCCATAGGCGCATCTGGGCCAGGCAGGTGCTCTGTGACTGAGCTGCACCTCCAGCCCTGGCCTCTTGGCATTTTCTACTTTTACGCTGTAATAGTCCACCCAATTTGAGACTCCCCGGCGGGTTTCATTGCTATGACCTGGTCTGGGATACACTGAAGCACACGGTTGTGAGGCTGAGGTTGTTTCCAGTGTGTTACTGTCGACGATGCCACGGCCCTGAGCTGAACAGCGTCCGGGTCATCCACCGTCTCGTCAGCAGGAGCCTGGAAGAGCGGCCACTGGAGAAGCAGGCTGCACAGAACCTTGGCACACGCTCAGGGCGGGGACAGCTGGCCCTGGGGAGCCTGTCTCCAGGGCGCCCCATGCACAGGAGGAGGTCCCTTCCTGCCTGCAGATCTGAGCAGTGTGCTCAGATCAGCTATACAGGGTTGACTGTCCTGGCCCTCAAGGGCAGCGTGGTTGTTAGGGTGTGGATAGCAAATGTCCCCAAGGCCGTGTGGCAGGGCTTGGTCTTGGGCTTGTGGTGGCGGAGGTGGTGGAAATTGTAGGAGGAGGAGCCTGGTGACAGGAAGTCAGGTCATTGGGGGTGGTGGCCTTGGGGGACACGGAGCAGGGCATGCTCTCTCTCTTGCTCTCTTCCTCTCTCGCTCTCTTGCTCTCTTTCACATGCCTGCCTGCTGTCTCTCTTTTACCATCCCTCTTACTCTTTTTTTTTTTTGGTATGGGAAATCGAACTCTGGACCTTGCAATTGCCAGGAAGGCACTTATGCACTGAGCTACATCCCTGGTCCTTTTTTGTCTTTTTGAGACAGGGTCTCGAAATGTAGTTCAGGCTGGCCTTGAGCTCACTTTGTAGCCCAGGCTGGTCTCGATCTCGCAATGATCCTCCTGCCTCAGCCTCCTGAGTGCTGGGATTACAGGCGTGCTCCACCATGCTCAGCTCCATCCCTCTTACTCACATCCCACTGCCACGAGGTAGGGCACTTCCACTGCCAGGCATTCCCCACCATGTTATTCTTCACCACAGGCTCACAGAGCACAGCACCAAGTCATCACGGGCAGAAGCTAGGACATCTTGAGCCAAGATAAAACTTTCTCTCTCTTTTTTTTTTTTTTTGTCTTTTTGAGACAGGGTCTTGCTATGGAGTTCAGACTGGCCTTGAGCTCACTTTGTAGGCCAGGCTGGTCTCAAACTCGCTTGATCCTCCTGCCTCAACCTCCTGAGTGCTGGGATTATAGGGGTGTGCCACCATGCCTGGGGGCAAAACCTTTCTTTTTTAAGGCTGATCTCCTCAGGTATTTTGTCACAGCCATAGAAAGTGGACTAACACAACGGAAGGGAAAAGTTAGTCCACAGAGAGCTCCTGAGAGGAGCTGAGAGAGCGGCTAGAGGAGGAAGCCTGAAGCGTCAGGTCTGACCTGTGGGATAAGACGTCCGGAAACAGGGGAGTTGGCAAACAGCGCTGAGGGCAGACAACAGCGCTGGGGAGATCAGCAAGGACTGCAGAGATTCAGAGGGAGGGGCTCAGAGCCCCTGGATGGGGTGGAGGAGCTTATGGCAAAGATAGCTTGTTACCCTTTGGATCTAGACATCCCCCAAAGCACCCAGTGGAGAGGCTTCTGGATCATGGCAGCGCTGTACTTGTGAGCGGATTATCCACTGAGGAATCCATGGCTGAACGTGTCAGTGGGAGGTACGGTCTAGATGGAAGACCTGGATAGAAGACCTGGGTTCACCTTCCTCCCAGCTCCTCCCTTCTTTCTCTGCTTCCGGTCCACCATGCCCTGAGTGGCTCTGCTCCGCCAGGCCCTTCCACCATGATTCCTGCATGGGAGCCAGCCGGCCACAGGCTGTACCATGAGCCAAAGTAAACTTCTCTAAGCTGTGGGTGCTGGGTATGTCCCAGCGATGAGACAGTGACTGAGACACGGCTCGTGGAGCGTGTGAGGAGGGCCTCTGCGGTGAACAGTTCATGCGATGTTCTCACGACTGTTAGTGACATAGGACACTATTTGTCATTATGAGCCAGGCGTCGAGCCGAGTGAGTCCATGCATTGCCTTACTGATTGCTCCCCTAGGGCTGTAGGGACCATCGTTACATCCTTCTGTAGGTAATGGTGCTGAAGCACAGAGAAGAGTCAAATAACTTTTCCGTGGTCACAGCACAGTGAGGGACAGAGGATGGGTGTGGACCTGAGCTGTGATGACTTCCAAGGCCGTGCGTGCTCCAGAGGGTACCAACATCCTTTCAGCACTTACCGAGAGGTGGGCAATTCATTGGTCTCAAGTCTCAGACCAGGACATGCGGGCACAGAGAGGCCACGGAACTTGCCGTTCTCTCAAGGTTGCCACCTAAGCCACAGGACACTGAATTAAATGTGATGAATAACAGTGCATTATTATGAATGTGGACATGGTTATTCTAGAAGTTCTTGTTTGCTTGACATTCACATTTAAATAGGAATCCTGTTTGCATTTTTCTTCTAAATTTAGTGATCTTACAAAGGTCACCCTGCAAATCAGCTTTGAGTCAGGTGGTCTGTCCCTAGGACTCACACGTGTGTGTGTATGTGTGTGTGTGTGTGTGTGCACACGTGTGTGCTCGTGTGGTACTGAGGATTGAACCCAGGGTCTCAACTATGCTATGCAAAGGCTCTACTATGCACCACACATCCAGCCCTACTTTCTTTTGAAAGCAAGGGTTTATTTTTGCTTTTGTTATTTGCACTACTAAGGATTGATCCCAAGGCCTTCACACCAATCTATATTCTGAGCCCTATTTTGCTTATTTTTTACTTTGAGACAGGGTCTTGCTATGCTGGCTAGACTGGACTTGAGCTGGTGGTCCTCCTGCCTCAGCCTCCAGAGTCCTGGGATACAGGCCTGTGCCACCAGCCTGGCTGAAAGTGGTGTTTGCGCCTGGAGCTCTGCCATACACTTCTGGGGGCGCCTGTGGCCCCTAGCATACTCTCACCAGGAGGCTCCCAATGCACCAGCAAAGAGACCAGGAGAGAGGTGCAGGGGGCTCATGCTTGCTGCCGGTACCGACAGCTTCTCACCTCAGTTTACCTTCATGCTGGGGCCTTGGTGGCACAAGGCTAGTGGCAGCTGGGGCTGATACGTTGATAGTCTCCCCTGTCTCGCATACGGAGTCATGATGCCACAGCGTGGCCTGGCCACCCTTGCGTCCAGATGCGCAGAAGGGCCCATCCAGAGAGGCAATCACAGTTTAGTGTAGTTTTGTTTTTGTTTTGAGCCAGGGTCCCACAGTGTTGCCCAGGCTGGCTTCAAACTCGCCATCTTCCCGCCTCAGCCTCCCAACTGCCGCTGGGATTATAGGAGTGGGCCACCATGCTGGGTTTAGTCATGGGTTCAGGAGGGGCCAGCGGGGGCCCACAAGCTCAGCCCCGACACTGGGGTCTGGAGGAGACTCCCGGTGACAGTAAGGGCTTCCTGCCCTCTTAGGTCTGAGGGTAGGTGGAGGAGTGAGGCCAAACTCAGATCCCCTGTCAGGGCCCCAAACACTTACAGGTGCTG